TAGGACTCCTTGCGGGCGTAGAAGGAGTTGTTGTACAGGGCAGACATCAGGTTGGCATCCACTTCGCTGAAGAACTTGCCCACCTGAAATGGGGACACTGTATCTGTACCCAAATGCCACCCTGGCATGGACTCCCCTGGAGGGGACTCGAGTGGGGCTGTGTAACAGAGTGTCACAGCCACGAGCTCGGGGTTCAGCTCCCAGCTGGCATTCCTGCCCCGGGGAGCTGCGGGCACTGCTCACCTGGTACCAATGATCCTCCTGGTTGGACAGCACCAGGAAGCCCCCATCATCGATGAGGACACAGATGAGGTCCTGGGGAAGGAGGGCAGTGTCATCCAACCCTGGCCATGCCCAGGGCAAGGCAGGACCAGCAGGGAGGGTGGCAGGCTGTCAGGCAGGGGAGCAGTGTGGTGTCCCCAAGCCTCAGAAGCTTCTCAGTGCCAGGAGCACCCATGCTGGGTGCAGGGAACAGGAGACACCACCCACCCTGGGGGTTTAACAGCACTCTCAAGGGGGTCCATGGTCCATGGTGAACCCCAGGGCCTTCATCCCTGTGGGTCTGGCTGAGCTTGGGGAGCAGCAGGGCACAGGGTGGGTGCACAGGCTGGGTGAGCAGGGCACAAGGATCTCTCCCAGCCATTCCATACACCCCCACAAGTGCCCCCACCCCTGCCCACCACCCACCTTGTTGTTGGCCTCACAGTCCATCTCACAGCTGCTTGAGGGGTCACACTGTCAACCAAAAGCAGGGCAGAGGGACAGGTTAGCAGGATGGTCATCCCCCCAGAGCTGTCCTCCCAGCTAGAAGGGGACATGCAGGGCAGTGTCCCCAGAGGCTGGGGACAGGGCCCTGAGGAACAAACCCATTCCAACCACAGGCACCATGTCCCACCAGTGCCCCCCAGCAAGCAGAGCTCCCTCCCTGCCCTGTCTCCACTCCCATCCCCTGGCAGTGCCAGCCCCAGGACGTACCCGGCGGGTGCCCAGCTGGTCTCGGTCTGTCCGGTTGCTCGCCAGCACTTTGAACTTCTCAGCCCAGGCCTCCAGGTCCAGCTTCACCCCCACCACTGGGGCAGTGGGAGACAGGGTGAGCTGTAGCCTGGGGGGGGCTGTAGGGACCCCCCGCCTGGCACCAGGGCACCCAGCTCCCCTCCTACCTGCGGGCTTCAGAGTCTTGCCCCCGATGCTGAGCTCCACGGCGGTGCTCACCAGGATCCCGATGGTGTTGTTCTCCAGGTCCAGCCCCCGGTAGCCAGCTGTGGAAGGCAGGGGTGACATCAGGGGACACATGGAGCCAGTGCCAGCCTGGGTCACACCCTGTCCCCTGAGCTGGCACCCACCATCGCGGTAGGGTGGCTTGAAGATGTAGCCCTTGTTGTCCAGGCTCCTCCGGTAGAAGCTGGCGTTGAAGGGCTCCGGCTCCTCCTCCCAGTCATCTGCGGCCCTGGCAGGGAGAAGCCACAGCCATGACTGTCACTGTCATCTCTGGTCCCACCAGAGATGGCCCAGCAGGAGCAGACACGTCACTGTGCAGGGCAGACACTCACTTGTTGGGGAAGACACGGGTGATGCCCCCGTCGGTGGCTGCGAAGACAGCCAAGAGGCTGTACCTGCAAGGAGAGGCCCAGGTACACCAACCATCAGTGGGGTTTTGCTCTGTCCCTGCCTCCACAGCCCATCCCAATCCTCATCTGTCCCCAGACAGTGCTGCCCACCCTGGGCCATCTCCCCTCCACCTACGTGTTGAGGTCCTGGTCCTTCCACACTTGGTCCACCAGCTGCTGTGTGATACCCGTGTCCAGGATTAGGTTGTGCAGGAGGAAGTTGTCGCCTTGGAGAGGAGGAGGAGGTGAGAGCTGACCCCATGAGGGCCACCCATGTCCCTGCCCTGTCCCAGCACCCACCCTGCAGCAGCTCCCAGGACCCCAACCCCAGCACAGTTTATCCCCTGCTCCATCTCCCCCTGAATCCCCATCCACCCCCAACCCCTCAGCATCCCCCCAGCAGCCATCCCAGCTACTCACACTGCTTGGAGTCTGGGGTCACCTTTTCCATGAGGGCAATAAAGTTTTCCAGGAACTCGGTGTTGTTATCCGACAGGTCGAGGTCTTTGCAATACTCTCTGGGGTTTGGGGACAAGGTTTGTGGTTCGTGGGGATGGAAAAGGCAAGGTCAGTTCTGCCCCTGTGCTGCCAGCACCCAGGCTTGACAGGGACACAGCGGTGGTGACGTGCCACCTCTCCTGGGAGTGTCACCTGCCAGGGGAACTGGCTGTGGGCACCTCTGCAGAGTGCCCTGTACCCAGCCCCTGCTGCCTGCAGTGCCACCAGGGAAGTGTCCCACCAGTCACTGGGTCTGTCACTGCCACAGGCACTGAGGTGCCGTCACCTCTGCCAGGGCAAGCTCTGATGGATCCTGGTTTGCCCAGAGTGGTACAACACCGAGTCCATCTCTCCCCATCCTTCTGGGGCTACTGGTGGGACTGGCTGCCTCTGGCACTGTACTTACCTGTGGGGCTGTGCCCACCCTGCCCTGCCCCTGTGGCACCCCAGGGATTGGGGCTCCATTGTGGGTACCAGCAAGGATTTGCCTCGGGATTCTCCACAGCTGCACTGGCAGCACCAGGCAGGCACTCAAGGCCGTACCTGTGCCCTTTGCACAGCTGGTTGGGTGCTGGCTGAGCCCCAGCTGGTGGAGATGGGTGCTTGCCCATAGGCATCACTGGCCCTGAGACACTCCTGGGACAGGCAGTGGAGTGGGTGCCATGTCCCTGCTTCATCTGGGACACCCTGAGCACAGAGTCCCACCCCCACCGATGCCAGGGACAGCTGTAACCTGTTGGTCACCACGAGACTCTGACTGGGTGGCACAGGTTAGTGCCACCCCAGTGTGCCAGGAGCCTCCCATCCTCAGCAGTGCGGCTGTGAATGGTGCCAGGGTGCTCCTCAGGGCTCCCCCTCTCACAACCCCTCCAACAAACTCCTGACTGCCAAAACCTCTGTCATTCAGAGGACAAATGGAGCAAAGGGTGGCAGGAGCATGTCCACAGAGCAGCTGAAAAAGGTGAGGGAACCTGCCCAGCTCGGCCCGGCCCCTCAACCCCTGCTCGGGGGGAACAGCACCTAAATACCTCCACCGACACGCACAGATACAGGTACTCACACACCCACGGGGGATATACGGTTTCTGAAAATGCCCAGAGGCCCGTGGGCGCGGCAGCAGATCATACAGTCGCCCTGGGCACACGGCCCCTCCTGCCCCGCCGCACCGGGGCTGCTCACGGAGCCGCCCTGGGGATACCGGGGGGCTCGCCCTGACTTCCACGTCCCCTGTTCTCTGCAGCTGCAGCGACTGCAGAGCCCCACACCGGGCACGGAGCAGGCACTGCAGCCTCCATGGGTGCAGCCCCACTCCTGGGGCCTCGGGCATCCCCTCCCTATCCATCCTCTCGCTGTGCTTACGGCCAGTTTTCAATAACTGTGCTCCTGTTTCTCATTCACGCTCTGCTTTGGCTCCCGTGTGTCCTGGGCTCCACCCCCAGCGCCCAGCAGAGGGCCCGGGGACTGCGTTCCCCAAAAAGGCAGCGCTGCACAGTGACTGCACATTCCGGGCTGCTTCACCCAGAGCGGGTGCGAGTGACTGCTGCTACACCCAGAGCGGGTGTGAGTGACTGCTGCTGCTGCGGGCCAGGAGGGTGGGGGTAGCCACAGGTGGCTGTGCTGGACCTCAACCCACTGCAACCCCCAAAAGCTGCACTGGCAAAACGTCCCCTAACAGGACGTGTAGCTGCCATAATGACCTATGAGCAGATAGGCGATTAGCTGGTGATGTTAATTAGAGATTGCACTGTAGTGGCGGGAAGGGCGGGGTGCTGCAGAGCCATGGGGAGCCCAGTGAGGGATGGCCCTTCATCCCCGCTAGGTGACACACTAGGCGGCATGGCCCAGGGGAGGGGACACATCTGTTTGTCACAGATCGGCAATGGACTCCTCATGTCCCCAAACCCCCTGGGCATCCCAAATTTGGGCTGAAACCTCCCCTCCTTCTCCCTCCCCCCCGCAGCCAGCACGACTGTATGATGCGGCCGGCGGCCCTCGCTCGGCAGGATTTTCAGAAACTATACCTATATATGCACGCGCAGAGGTCGGGCTGCACCGGGTGCATATATATATATATATATATATATAAATATATAAAAATATAGATATATACTGTGCTGGATGCAACCGGGGGGCCGGGGTCCCGGCGGCGGCCCCGCGGCCGAGCGGGCACACGACACACACAGCCACAGGGCACGGGGAGCAGGGACAAGGCACGATGAGGCGGGGATGGGGGCGATGGGGGGTCGGCAGCGGGGCCGGGGCGGATGCACACCTCGGCAAGCGCACACGCAAAGCTACCTGGGAGCAATGAACACATGTCCCTCCGACTCAAAGCTGTTGGGCAGCAGGTATTCAAAATCTGCAACAGAAAGGGAAGGTTATCCGGCGGGGAGCGGGGGCGCCGGGGCCAGGAGGGAGAGAGACGGACAGAGAGAGAGAGAGAGAGAGAGAGGGAAGGGAACAAAAAAAATTAGAAAAAAAGAAAAAGGCATTTGCTGCTCTTGGTAACAAGAGAGAGGAAGGAAAAGGCCGTTCTGCTGTTGCTGGCACCGCACGGGAAGGAAGGTTAAGCCAAATCAGGAGAGGTTTGCCCATCTCGGCTCGAATTTGCTCGGTGGCGGGCTGGAGGCGCGCGGTGCGTACGCGGCCGGTACGCAGGGACACACAGACACACACACATATATATATGTGCGCACATGGAGATATATATATATATGCATGTTCGGGAGGGCGGGGACGTCTCTCTCTCGGGGGAGGGGTGCTGGGCGAGGGCAGGGAACCACATGCTGCGCTCCTGGCCGGAGGAGGATCACCGGAACACTCGGTTGTCGGGAGAAAAAAAATAAAGGGAGTTTTCAGGCATCAACATGGCCAGAGGGGAACCTTGCCGAGGACAGTCCAACCAGAGGCTCCCGCCCTGCTGCAGGGCCGTGCAATGCGCTGCCGGGCTCCGGTGCCGGGCTCCGGTGCCCCGTCCCTGCCCGGGGCCGTGATACCCCCATGGGGCCGGGGATCCGCGCTCTGCTTTAACACGGGGTGCAGCCCAGTAGCTTTGGGGTCTCTGGGATTGCCCCCGGCAGAAGAGACTGAGGATGCAGGGCTCAGCTCGTGGGGGCGAGCTGGGTTGGGGGGTGCACGGAGGGGTGCTATGGGACACCCCTGGGATAACATCTCCCCCAGGACGGGCACCGCCACCCCCTTGCCCTCCCGCCAGCTCCTGGTGCATTGCACGGCACAGCCAGAGGTTGGACTGTTGCTCTCTGAGGGCTGGAGGCAGGGGCTGGGTACAAGCCGATGAGAGGAAGAAGAGGAGGAGGAGGAGGAGGAGTACAAACACTCGTACTTGGTCCATCAGCATTGCCATCACAGGGGCGCTGGGAGGAGGCAACTCAAGGCTGATTGAACAGGGCTGAGGGTGACACTTCCACCTCCCCACTGTCCTGCTCGCCTGGCCCTGTCCCCCATGGCCCCTCCTGTGCTGCAGTGCCCCCCAAGCCGTGTCCCTGTGCCAGGGAGGGGTTGCTGGGCAGGCTGCTGGTGGGTGCCGTGAGCTGGGGACTGTGTGGGATGGAGAGGGGTGGCAGGTCCCACGGGGACTGTGTGTGCCCCATGGGTGTCCCCTGGCCCACTGCAGGGCTGAGCAGGAGCTGTGGGTCAGGAGGCCCCTCTGGCAATGAGGGAATGGGGGCCAAATCCTGTGTCCCATGGGGGATGTCCTGCCCCACTGCAGGGACAGACCGACCCTGGCACCTCAGCCTGCCTCGGTGGGACTCGGGGCTCAAACCTGGCTGCTCCCAGGGGCACAGACGGCATCAGGACACTGTACCTTCAGTGGCACAGGACACTGGGCCATGCCATGCTGGTCCCCAGGGCAGGGGGGACGGCCACCGAGCAGCTGTGGGGGCGGGCAGTGTGGCACCCCTGGGCTCAGCCATCCCTCGTGCCCCTGGGGCCAGGCTCGCCATCACCTGTGCAGCTGGGAGGCACCGCCCCAGGTGTCCCATCCCATCTCTGCAGAGCATTCCTGCTTGTGAGCTTTCCCAAAAAGGCTGTCCCAGAGGCTGATGGATTGGGCCCCCCACCTGTCCTCCATCCCTGCCAACTGTGGGCACCCACCCCACAGCCCCCCTCTCCCTGCACAGCCCTATCCCTTTCAGGTTGAGTTGTCTTGGGGAGGAGGAAGCAAAGGAGCCAGGAGAAGGGGAGAAGGAGTTGGAGGAGACGAGCGGGAGAAGAGGAGCAAGAAGGGGCAGCACTGGGGAGGAAGAGCAGGGCATCCAACTAGCTACAAACTCCTCGTGGGTAGAAAAGGGCATTTCATACAAGATCAGCTCTTGGACGATATCGAACCAGGTTTGGGAGTGATGCGCAGGGAGGGAGTGGGATTTTCGTGACAAAGCTCTCATGAACAGAACAAGACATGTTGCTTTCAAATAAAGGGGGAACTGGAGGAGAGGAGGAGGAAGAGGAGAAGGAGAAGGGAGGAAGGGCGAGTTGGTGGCGGTTTGCAGGTTCGGCGTGGCAAACGGGCAGGGAGATGGGCAAGCAGGGGGCTGGGGGGGACTGGACACGGGGCAGGGGACGGGGTGGTGAAGGTGAGTGGTCTGAGACTGAAAATACTTGCCCTTCATTTTGATGTTTGGTACTGTGTGAATCCACCATAGAGAGAAAGCAAGAAAAACAACAAACAAAAAACAACAAACAAAAAAAAAAGGGGTTGGGTGGAAAGGGGGAAGGGGGGCACAAACAATATTTTATTCAATCGACGTTTGAATAAAAATATTGTGTACTATAATCATACCAAAAGGAAACCTCTTGCAAAAAACGACATGAAGAAAAGAAAACATAAGAAAAACCCAGTAACAAAAGGAAAAGAAAAGGCCACGGTGAAATAAGAACAAAAGAAAAAAATAAATGCAAAGATATAACTAGAGAAATATATAGATATATATTCAATACTCCAAAGGAAAATGAGAATCAGTAGCAAACAGTTGCAACAGTCTTGATATCAAAATGTCCTCACTGAGTCAGGGGGCATGCACGGCACAGTGGGCAGAGCTGGGGAGGACGGGGGGATCCCCCCTCCCGGGGATGGGGACAGCCTGGCCTTGTCCCCACAGGGACACACACAGGGCTCCTGCCCATGGATGGAGGGGGTGGCAGGGGCTGGATCCGGAGCGGGGCTGGGGTCGGGCCACCGTGGTGGCTGAGGGGAGAAACAGGGGGAACCAGGGGGGAGAGGGGAAGGGTCCAGTTCTCCCATGGGGAGAGGGTCCCTGGGAGCAGCGTGGACCTGAGGTGGGGAAAAGGCTCGGGGGTCAGGGGAAAGAGAAAGAGAGAGAAAGGGGGGCCAGGCTAACACACACGTACACAGATTAATTCCAAACAAAAATCGAAACCAACCGAAACCAAACTCATAAAAAGAATAAATGGCTTAAACTGAAACCAAAGTATCATAATAAACCAAAGGAAATTAAAGAGATCCATGCAAACTTCCCCAGGCTCACAAATGATGTGGCTGCCGCAGCGCCATCCCTCGTCCCCGGGGGGCGAACAGGCAGCACCTCCCTCTGCAGCCTGTGCCTGCCTGCAGCCCCGGGCTGCGCAAGGACCAAACCCCAGGGGCACCCCAGGCAGGCAGCTCGCTTCGCTTTCCCTCCGTGTGCTCACCTCTACTCACGCCTCTCTCAGCTCTAGCTTTTATTTTGCCTCTCACAGTGATCCCTATGACCTTTCCCAAGCCTTTGGTTTGTGTTTCTCCCCCTGACAGCCAGGGGCTGGGTGGGGTGAGGGGGAGTGTGAGAGGGCGGCGGGGAGAGCCAGGGGCTACTTACACTTCACTTGCAGGATCTGGTCGCTGAGGTTGGCCTGGATGTAGTAGGTACTGTAGGGAGGCAGAACCAGCCCCAGGCTGTGGAGAGGGAGAGCAGACACCTAGTGTAAGGCTTTACACCCACCCAGAATCCTTGGCCAGCTCCCAGTCCCTGCCTGGCACCTGCTGGCAGCAGCTTCACCCAGGTGATGGCAGGCAGCCCCAGCGGCCTCCTGCACAGCCTGCTGTGTCCTGCTCTCCTGGAACTGCAGCCAGTGCTGTCCTGAGACACCCAGAGTCACCCCCAGAGCACCCAGAGTCGTCCCCAGAGCACCCAGGGTGATCCTGGGCTATCCAGAGTCATCCCCAGAGCACCCAGAGTGATCCTGGGCTATCCAGAGTCACCCCCAGAGCACCCAGGGTCATCCCCAGAGCACCCAGTGTGATCCTGGGCTATCCAGAGTCATCCCCAGAGCACCCAGGGTCATCCCCAGAGCACCCAGCATCATCCTGGGCTATCCAGGGTCATCCCCAGAGCACCCAGGGTCATGTCCAGAGCACCCAGGGTCATCCTGGGCTATCCAGCATAATGTCCAGAGCACCCAGGGTGATCCTGGGCTATGCAGGGTCATGCCCAGCGCACCCAGGGCTGTGCTGGGGGCACACATGGGCACAGAATTTGGCACATCTGCCTAGCCAGGGCTGATATGGGCAGGATGTACCAGCCTAGAAAACAAGGGAGGTACATGTGGAAGAGGAACACGACATCCCTGCGGGGGAGGAAGGCAGGAAGAGATACAGCCCATGAAAGAAGGGACAAAGCCTTCCCAGACTGGAGAAACCAATGACAACCATTATACAGGCGCCAGGAGCCAGATAGGTCAGGAACAAGAGTGATCTGCCAGCCAGAATCTGGCATGCAGGGTGTGGGATAGGGTGGGAAAGGAGCTAGCAGGAGGTGGTGCTGGGGCTGTTAAACCCACAGGACACACTGCCAGAGGGAACTGGACTCCCTGGTGCCAGCTGCAGTGGCCATTGGCCTTTGATGACAGTGTTTGTGCCAAGTATTTTCAGGAATAAGTGAGCAAGGGCCACATTCCTGACTCTCATCAGATGTAACTCCTGCACCAGAGCCACTGGGATCTGGGTTTCTTCCCTAAAGCACCCCTTCAGATAACCCTGCGTCTGTGCTGGGCACAGTCTGGGCATTGCAGCCAGCACAGCAGAGCTGCTGGCACCCCAAACCACAGTGTCAGGAAAAGGGTGGTGGCTTTTTTCTGTTCAGTGTTGGTGGCATCCCAGGGAAACCCAGGAAAAATCCCTGCTGCAGAGCAGTGGGGAGTGGCTGTGACCCTTGCCAGCCCCTCCAGAGCTCGGTGGTGAGGAGGAGGAGGAAGAGGAGGAGGAGGAGGAGAGCACACTGGGCAACAGGGGCTCACATGGCTCCTCCCATGTGAGGCAGTGTGAGTTGAGAAATGACGATGTCAGGGTGTTTCTTACACATGTGCTGGTCCAAACTGGTGCAAACTGGGTGATAAATGCAGAACTTTGCTCTCCTCTGGCTCTAAAGACAGTGCCTGTGCTGCAGGGTGGGCACATGTCACTGTCACCCACCCTAGAGCAGGCAGGGACCCGCATGAGACCCTGGCTGGGCAGACAGGGGGTGGCAGAGGTGTCACTTGTCTGGCCCCTTGCATGCCAGCCCTGCAGCCTGTCTGGAGTCCAGGGGGCTGTGTCCAAGCTCTACAGTGCCTAAAGCTGGCAGGCAGCCCTTTCATCACTGCCTGTGTGCAATAATGTGGCAGTGCATTTGCCACTTCACAGCCCTTGGGACACATCCCTGGTGGCCTCGGGGATTTGGGAGCTGCAGGCACAAGCTCCCAGGCCTGTGCTGGTGTGGATCAGCCAGGGCAGGGCAGTCAGGCTGTGACACTCACCTGTAGTTTGTGCTTTTGATGGGAGCCCACGTGTAGGTCCGGAACACCTCGTCGATGTATTGCTGTGGGCCAGAGGCAGCCAGTCAGGCCTGGCACTGCCAGGGCTCTGCTGGCACAGTGTCACAGGGCCCTGGCTTCCTGCCCAGTGCCAGACACAGCCCCTCATCCCCCCTGCTGGCTCTGGGCGCTCAGCACAGTGACAGTTGCAGCTGTGACCCCCTTTCCCTTCAGTTACCTCGTCCAGGGACTTGATGAGGGTCTTGATGAACCTCTGCCCATCATTGCCATCAATCATGCTTCTCCGGATCTGTGGGACACAGAGGAGGACACTGAGGGCCACAGAGCCTGGCCACGCACCTGTGGGCACTCGTGGCATCAGGGGGAGCAGCCTGGGGAGGTTCATTGCACCCAGGGGACAGTGACCCAGCTCCTGTCCCCTCTGTGGCTCCATGGGAGCTCTGCCAGGACCCTGAGGATGAGACTCTCTGCAGGGCAGGCTGGAGGGGCTGAGTGCCCTTTGCAGCTGCAGGTGAGGGGGCCAGCCTGTGTGCCAGAAGCTGCCCCTGCTTTGCTCACCTCCTCCTTGTTCTCATCCTCCAGCTCAGCATCCAGGAAGTCCAGCGTCACCGGCTCACGGAAATTGATGATCTGCAGGAACAAAGGGAGAGCCAGGCAAGGGCTCAGGGCTCCTGCAGCCACTGCTGAGCCCAGACACATCACAAACCCCACAGCTAAGTCCTAAGGACCCTGGAAAGCCCCCAGGGCCTGGCTGATCCCCCTTTGGGCCCCTGCTCACCTGGGGCTGCAGGTTGGGGTGCAGCAGGACGTAGCCGTTCAGGTCGATGGCAAAGACGTAGCCATTGGCCCCCAGCTGCAGGAGGACAGGAGGAGGGTGAGGCTGAGCAGGTGGCTCTGTAGTGTGACACACTGTGGTGGTGTCATCCCCCTCACCTCTGCAGGCAGAGCTCGCCCCAGGTCACCCCCAGGGCTCAGCCCATTCTATCCATCCATTTCTATTCTCAGGGCAATGCAATCTGCCACTCACTCCTGGGTGAGAGTTTGGCTCTGGATTTTTCCCACTTCTCCTTTCCCAGGCCTGTAGTGTTTATTCCCTGCTGACCCTACAAGGGTTTTGGCTCTGCACTGAGTCCCAGAGCATCACACATCTTTGATCCCTGCTCTCCTATGTCACAGACATCTTTTATGAAAAATCCTCTCCTTAGGATTTTTCGTCCTGAGAAGCTGAGAGGCCTCAGGAACAAAATGTAAACAATGATTATCTGCTGCTGTGGAATGCAACAGGTGGATCTGTGATTGGTCTCATGCAGTTGTTTCTAATTAATGGCCAGTCACAGAGTCCGAGCCACAAGCCTTTGTTATCATTCTTTCTTTTTCTATTCTTAGCTAGCCTTCTGATGAAATCCTTTCTTCTATTCTTTTAGTATAGTTTTAATATAATATATATCATAAAATAATAAATCAAGCCTTCTGAAACATGGAGTCAGATCCTCATCTCTTCCCTCATCCTAAGATCCCTGTGAACACCATCACACTCCTGCCTGTCCCAGCTCCTGCCAGGTGCCAGTGCTGCTGAGGTGCTCTGGAGTGCTGGGGCTCCCACCAGAGGGATGGATTCCCCACCAGGACCAGGCAGTGCAGGGCAGGGGCAGAGGGGAACCCACGCACGTTGTAACGCGGCGTCAGCCTCTTGATGTCATTGAGAGCCACATCGATCCCCATCACGCCCAGGATGAGCTGGTTCTGGAAGGAAATGCAGGATGGAGGTGGTGGGACCAGGGCTGTCATTGCCACCACCAGCCCAGGGACAGGGAATCAGCAGGACAGACCTCTTCCCCTTCTGGGGACGTGTGGGTCAGATTTGGGTACTGCAGGGGCACAGGGTGGGATGGACCAGCCCCCCAGGAGCCCCATGGGACACTGCTGCCCCCAGGGACTGGCAGCTGTGCCAGCTGCACTGTGAGAGCTGGCCAAGGTAATATAGGGTCCCAGGGATGGCAGTCACCCCTGGTGTCACTGCAGGGAGGTGGCAGAGCAGGCAGCACCCCAGGGATGCCAGTGTCCCCCCTGCAGCCACTCATACATCACCAGGGCACCCTCCCACCCCACAGTGGCCCACACCAGGGCTCCCAGTGCAGGGCCAGCAGAGTGTCCTACCTTCCTGTCACTGCTGTCCTCCGTCAGGTTGAACACAGGCAACGTTCCTGTCACCACCAGGCCCAGCCCCTGCACAAGCACGGAATGATGTCCCATGGCCCCTCACTGCCTCAGGACCAGGGCTGGGGTGGGCAGCAGAGGGGGGTTGATGGGGCATGTCCTGTGCAGGACCCTGGGGCCGGTGTCCCCATCTACCTGCACCCCAGAGTTCTGTGGGACCCCAGGGTCAGTGTCCCCAGCTGCACCCTGGGGCTGCAGTCCCCACCCTCATCCCCATGTGTGGGACCCAGGGCTGGGGATCCCCTCCTGCCCCTGGGGCTGTGTGGGACCCTGGGGCTGGGGGGTCCTTACCAGGGCATCCTGGTACACATTGGTCCACTGGACCTGCTTGGCTCGGTTCCCAGCCAGGACCATGGGCCTGCCCAGCACATCCAGGTACTCCTGCAGGGACACAGGACACAGGAAAGGACAACATGGGAACTGGATGTCTCCTTGCTCCAGCCTGGTGACACCCTTGTCCCTAAGCACACCCCAGCAATGTTAATGGGGTGAGGCTGAGCTTGGGGAGGGGGCTTGGCAGCCCCCAAATGTGGGGGCACTGGCTCCAGCTGGGACCCCTACAGGTCCATTAAGATGCAAACAAGGTGCTGCTCACCACTGGCCATGCACAGGCAGGGCAGGGGCTCCCCAGGCAGCACCAGCCAGAGCCCCCCAGCCATTGTTGGGGCTGGGATTGCTCCATCATGCCTGGACCATGTCACTGCTGTCTCCCTGGCTGCCATCTTCTCCTGGGGTAGGTTTCCCTTTGCCAAGGAAGATCTCTGAGCAGGGAACGAGCCCCCGTGCCACAATGCCAGCTCTGCCCTGCCCTCATCACCTGCCATCATGGCACCCTGTGCACATCCCATAAAGAAAAGGGGCAGAAAAGAGGCAGTGAGAGGAGATGTGGGGCAGACACAACCAGCTCTGCCAGGCTTGGCCCTGCCCACGCTCAGCTCTGCTCTGTGCTGATTAATGCCTGATGTTTCATAATTAGTCACTCAAAAGGCAGCAGGTCCGTGGGGAGCTGCAGAAGATGAATTGCTTAATAGTGCAGAGCCTGGCTGAGGGCTCAGCTTGGCTCCCCAGCTTGCTGCCACACTCACTGCCAGCCTGTGGGACTGGGGCTGCCTGAACCCCCCCAGGCAGAGCAGGGCAGCCGAGGGGGCTCTGCCTGCCCGGCTCCAGCTGTACCTGCGTGTTAATGCGGATGGCGCCGATGGAGGGGATCTCGAAGTAGTAACCTTGGAAAAGAAACAGAAAGGCAGCTGAAGATCCATCTGTCCAGCAGTCTGCAGGGCTGCAGGCAGGGCTTTGCTGGTGTGGCACCCACAGGAGCCGAGGGGTGGGCCCAGCACCCTGCAGTCCCCCGTGCCCGCTGGGTGCTCACCTTTGTTGGCACAGGCCATCCACTGCAGCGGGGTCACGTCGTAGTTGTGCTGCCCCACGGAGAAGGTGAAGACCCGCACCTGTGGCAGAGCCTGCACTGAGGGCCAGCCACTGAGTTTTCAACACTCAGTGCTCCTAGGCAATGACAACCTCCCCAGGGACAGCGTGGCATTGCCTGCCACAGCCCACAGAGTGAGTGCAAGTGGGCAGGAGACTCCCGCAAGTGCTGGCTGTGCTGCAGCAAGGGAGTCCCTGTCTCCTTGTCCTGCCCTCCAGCATCACTCTGTTGGCTCCAGTCACCCACTTCAGTGGTCCTTGCTCTGGGGCATCACTGCTCCCACAGGGGTCTGTGCTCCCTGAGGGTGATACATGGGCCAGAACACCCCCAACCCCACAGGTTTCCAGGTACTGACCAGCAACTGGGACCTTCCTGCTGGTTCATCTGCCTGCCAGCAGCCCTGTCCCTAATGCCTGGGTTGTGCTCCCCTCAGGGCCAGCATTCAGGGAGCCCACCAGCCCCAGCTCCCCAGCATCCCAGTGTGCCTGGTCCCACAGGAAGGCGGGAGCAGCTACAAACCCATCAGCAGGGCTGTGGCTCCATGCAGGAGCAGGCTGCTGGGGAATGGGGATGGCAAGGAGGAAAATGGAGCAGAAGTCAGCAGTGGAGCTGGAGCAGCCCCAGCCCAGCACCTAGCCCAGGGCTCTCACCGTCTTGTTGGGCCAGTTGTACTTCTCAAAGACGTCCTGGACTCGGTCCTCGCCGCCATCCGTGAACATCATGATCATCTTGTTGCAGTTGGCACGTGTGATGTTGGACTGTGGGGCAGACACAGCACCTGAGGCCACACCTCAGGCACAGGGCTGGATGCAGCCAGGAGGGCTGGCCCCAAACCCACCCCTTTTTCCAGCCCATTTCTCTGGGGTGAGGGTGATCAGGCTGAATGGGCAGGGGGGACACTGCCACCTGGGGAATGATGTTGTGGCTAATGCCACTCGACACCTATAGCACCATTCATCTTTATCTTGCCTCTGGCACGGTGTCTGTTGGGTCTGGCCCCTCCACCCAGCCCTGCTATCTTGTAATAACCCAGAGGGGAGCAGCACCAGCAGAACCTTGGCTGCAGCCCGCCTGGAGGTGGGATGTCTCCCCCAGCATGGAGGAGGAGCAGAAGGAGCCCTCAGCACAGGGCAGCAGCCAGGCACTCGGACCTGTCCCACCATCCCCAGCACCCACAGCTGTCCCAGCTGTCCCCAGCCCCAGCCCAGCCCTCAGCTCACATTCTGCAGCTGGTCGAAGGCGTACTCAAAGCCAGCCTTGTAGTCTGTGGTGCCCTTGGCCACCATGCCCTGCACGTCCTCCTTGAACACCTTCTTGTTGCGGATGTTGGCCTGCACCAGGTGCTTGAAGCACGACACGGGCTTGGCCTTCTCATTGAACTGCGGGTGACATGGAGGGGGTGGGTCACAGGAGGGGACAGGGGGACACCAGCAAGCACAAGCCACTCAGCACACTCAGCTCTCATGGGCAGCAGGTGACCCAGACGTGTCCCACATCCCAGGGGGGGCTGAGGCTAAAGTTTGGGACAAACTTGGGACAAATCCAGCAGTAAGCTGTGGTTTAAGTGCTGTACCTGCACCCCCAACTTGTGCAGCAGCCCCAGCTTGTGCGAGCAGCCGTGCTGTGCTGCTCTGTGCCGCCATCGGGAGCAGGTGCTGCCTCTCACTTACAGCTTCATTTACCGGCAATGGGGCCCATTCATTAGGGGAGCGACAGAGCCAGGCCAGACACGTTAATTAGCGCCGCTGCTGGTGGCCAGACAGGGGCGGGGCAGCCAGTGACACGCAGATGCGATGGCATGGACACTGTGCTGGTGACACAGCCGTGGGGTGTCAGTGGCTGGTGACAGACAGGACGTGGCTGGCTGGGATAATGCAGGAACAGCCCTGCCAAATGCCCCCTGATAGGAGCAGCATTTGTGTGCCGAGCCCTGAGCAGCCATTTGGTGGTGGTTAAGAAGACAAGAAATGGCATTTCTGTGTGCAGAGCCCTTAGCCAGGTGTGCCTGGGGGAAGAGGGTTCCTGTGCTGGGGAGCTGGGAGGTGCCTGGGGACACAGCCCTTCCTCCAGGCACTCACCGAGGCCACATTGACATAGTCATCATCTGAGAGGGTGTCCAGCATCTCATAGACCGAGGTCTTCATCAGCTTGAGGGTGAGGCCGCTCACACTGCCACTCCTGCAGAGACAGGGGTGCTGGGGGCTTGGCAGAGAGGAGCACAGGGCTGTGCCACCCCACAGCTTCCCTGCGGCCACTGCTGGGACAGTGGCACCTTGGCCAGCTGTGCCACCAGCCTGGCCTGAGCCCAGCCATGGCCCCCAGCGTGTACTCACACGTCCACAATGATGACCATGTCCTTTGGGGAGGAGGCACCCTGGATGTACCTGTGGGGTACAGAGTGGGGTCAGCAGGGCTGACTCATTTCGGGGCCACAGCCCAAGAGCAAAGCCCTGCCAGGGCACTGAGGAGTGTGTGGGAGCCCAGGGCAGGCAGGGCTGTGTGACCCCATGGCAAGGAGTAGGGACAAGGAGGCTGTGGGCAGGTGGCAGCGAGGACGTGGCTCCTGTGGCACAGCACAGCAGACGGCCAGGACTGCTGCTCCACACTGTGTCAGCCTAATGAGCTCTAAATGCTAAACTCTTCCATCATCATGGGCCCTTTCCTGCGTGCTGATTATGCTGACACACACATCCATATTAAGATGCTATTTACCCCCCTGGTAGCTTCAAAGGCCAGGCTGATTGAGGTTATTTTTAGCTACAAGGAGGAAAAATAATAACACGACGTAAATCTTCCCCACTGAAAACAATTAGGGAACCCTTCCTCACCCCTGGAAACAACTGGTCCAGCTCCCAGCCCTGCTGTGCCAGGCTGTGTTGGAGGGGCTGGCACAGGGCTCAGCACCCATCCCACCCCAGACATGGCCATGCACAGCCCCACCTCACCAGGCCATTGCAGGAGCCCTGATCCTGCCCTGGCTGCAGGCCAAGGGAACCTCATTATTGGCTAGATCAGGATCGGGCCTCGCGTGAATTAATTAGTGTGTCATTAGTATCAATTACTCACCACTTCTGGGGAGGACTGGGGAAGGGGCAGGCTCTGATTGTTAATTTCTGATGTTCCCTAATTACAAGGGATTACCCGGGTGGGATACAGGATGCTGGCACATAGGGCCCTCCTGACATGGGTGCAGCATCCCCCAGCAGGGTGCAGGACAGGCGGCTGCCAGGGGCTCCTCCTGCCGGGTGAGAGGGGCTCTGGGAGCCTGCTGGGAGCAGGACAGGCCGCTGCCAGGGGCTCCTCCTGCGGCTCTTGGAGCCTGCCCTGCTCCCGGGGTCGGGCTGCTGGTGCGCCACAGAGCCCGACTAAGATGCTGCCCGTAATGGGCTGTGGCAGCACATCCATCTCGGCTGCCCGGCTCAGATGAATGCCCTGGGCTCGGCAGGAGACGGCTGTGGCTAATGGGGCCATTTATCAGGGGAGGGGAAGGCGGGCGGGTGGCGCCCCTGGCTGCGGGCAGGGCTGTGGCCCTGGAGCAGTGAAGGCTGTGTCCGGCATGGGGCCCCACCGGGAGCAGGAGAAGCCCCAAAGGGGGCTCCCCCAGGTGTGCTGTCCCCCAGCATGAAGGGTGCTGCTGCTGCTCCTCCATGGCAGGGTGGGACAACCAGGTGGCCAGCCTGGCTAAGAGCTGGGCTTAGCTGGGCTCAGCAGCCTCCCCCCGCAAAACAGCCTTCCAGTCCCTGCCCTGCAATAACCTGCACAGACACCCCAGCAGGGAACAGTTAATAATTAATGTGGAGCAATCAAAGGCAATTAACCATAGCAGCAGGGCCATTAATTTTCTGACAAGGAGAGGGGGCAGCTCCTGATGTGGGCAGGGGGATGATCCATTGGGATACAGGGCTCCCTGGGCATGTGCCAGAGGCCTGTGCCCACTCTCTTCTCCATGCCTGCAGGTGTGGGCAGGATGGGGCTGTGGCTCCCCCAGCTCCAGCTGATAACCAGCACTGCCACACCAGCACCTCCAGCTGGACTAAGGGCAGCCCATTCAATCCCAGCTCACTTCTTCCGGGATAAAAGGCTGCTCAGCTATCCCTGAGCCACAGCCTGTGCCGCCTGCCCATTCCTCTCCCCATCCTCCCAGCCCATGGTTTCCAAGCCAGTTGTTATCTCATTTGGATGGGAATGCTGGCCAGGACTGAGTGCCAGCAGCCATGGCTGTGCTGAGGGGGCACAGAGTTCTCTCCACACTTTCATCTGCACCCAGGGATTGATCTCTCCATCCTGCTCCGCTTTCCCAGAAAGAGGGAAGGAGAAGAAGGAGCCAAGTGCCACAGCTCAGATGCCCCTGCCTGTGTTATGGTGTCTCTCTGCCAGTGCCCAAATGCCATGAAAAGCGGAGGGAGCTGCTTGCTTCCAGCCAGGACCCTCCTGCCCACCCAGCACCCCCTTACCAGGGCCGCCGGCGCACGTCATAGAGGTCGATCTTGTTGGGGGCTCTCCATGGGGTGGCTGTGGGGACAAGGCAGGCAGTGAGCAGGCAGGGCTGTCCTGGGGGGGACAGGGGGACAGGGCAGAGGGATGCCAAGGGCTGAGGAAGCAGCAGGCTCGGGTGAGGAGCTCATACCAAAGGGTTCTGGCACAGCACAGTTACACAAGTCACACCAGCCCAGTGGGGGCTTATCCCATGGAGCAGTGGGAAGGGCCTGGGCTGCCCTTGGTCACTGCCCCTGTGTGCCACTGTCCCTGTGTGCTACAGCCCTCCCTGGCACAGCCTATGTGTGCCACAGCCCCTGTGTGCCACTGTCCCTGTGTGCCACAGCCCTCCCTGGCACTGTCCCTGTGTGCCACAGCCCTCCCTGGCACAGCCCCTGTGTGCCACTGTCCCTCCCTGGCACAGCCCCCCTGGCACACACCGGGGTAGTAGCGGGTGACGCCAGTGGCGCTGCCGAAGACCTGCCAGAGCAGGGAGGGATCCTCCTTGCGGTTCTCGATGAAAACATCCTCCAGGGCCTGCGTCCAGTTCAGCTCGTTCAGGATGACGGTGGCTGCAGGACACACAGACAGGGCTGGCTGGGTGCAGGGATGGAGCAGTGGAGCTGGGGGTGATGGGGACTGCAGTGTCCCCAGGCGATGGCAGGGAGGAAGGTGATGGGGACTGTCCCCTCCCCTCTGCCCCTTCCCAGGAAGAAGCCCATGGGGCTTTCCAGCTTCTCCTACATCCCCTCAACCCCCCCACTTCCACACGGCTCCAGCACCACCCTGCTGTCCCTTGTCCCCAGAGAAATGAGCCACTCTCCGGAGCTCCCCAGAGTGCTCATTGTCCCCATGTGCTCCGGGGCAGACACAGCCATCACTGGGGACAGCTGGCCTGCCATCTCCACTCCCTTCCCAGCAAAACTCCCTGTGAGAGCCTCACTCCCTGGGGACAGTCACCAGCTGGGAAGCCCAGGCTGGTGTCCCCAGGGGCCATGTGGAGCCTCTCAGGCCCACTCTGCATTCCCACTGGCCCTGCACCTGACACAAAAGCAATTAAGATGCCGGCAAACAGCAGTTTTAAATTATTCAGCTATTAAAGCAGGAGATAAGCTGCTGGCAGCCCCAGCCTGTGATTAATCAAGGGGGACTGGCAGAGTGCAGGGGGGCCATGTGGTGTGGCAGGAATGGGGCTGGCAGGGAGCTGGGATGGCACCTCCCTGTGCCCACAGGGGGACCCCAAATGCTGTGGGGGGAATCCCACGATGACCTCTGGTGCTGGGTTGCCCCAGGACTGCAGCGTGGAGGAGCCAGTGGTGGGTGCCACTGCAGGAACAAGGGGCCAGCAGCACCCTGAGACCAGGCACTGATCCCTCCTGGGAGACCCTCAATGCATTTTTGGGGTGCAAGAACTCTCAGGAGCACCCCAGCTCTTTGGCATTGGGCAAAACAACCCAATGTGGTGCTGCAGGGGAGCCAGTGTGCATTTGAGCAGTAAATTTAGCTCTCCTAAGCCTTCCTCCCACACTTGTCCCTTCTGGAACACCGTCATCATCCGTTCCTGCCTTCACTGGGGTCCCAAGGCACTGGTAGGAGGTGGGTAGGTTTCTCAGGATGAATCCTGGATCCCTCTATCCCAGCATGACTGCTGAAGAATTGTCTTTCCCTCAGGCAGCCAAGCCTTCAAACCATGATTTACTCTGCCCGTATCTCCCCAGCCATTCCTCAGCGCTGTGCCCACACACAGTGCTGTTATCTGGGCACTGGGGATGATTTCTTGTTTGGCTCTGACACAGGACGTGGTTTTTCCCAAGAGAAGTGGCTGTGAGCTGGCTGCCAGGCTGCTGCCTGCCTGGAGCAGCCCTGGGCAGTGCTGCCAGCCTCAGCTGGGCACCGGGCTGGGCCCTGCCACATCCATGATAGCCCTGGCAGCACCCACACACCCAGACCCTCAGGGCCATCAGCCACACCAGCTGCTTGTGCTGAATGCAGCTCATGTTGTCCCTGTGCCCAAACACAGCCCCTGTAGTATCTCTGAGCACGAATGCAGCCCCTACACCTTCCCTAGGCATGAATGGATCATCCCTGTTAACAAATACAGCTCCTGCTCTCTCACCATGTGCAGTGATGAAGCTGTGTCCCTGCTTGGGATGGCTCCTGTCCCTCTCAGTCGAGGGCAGAGCTGCCAGCCCCACTGGTGCCATCCCCATCCCTGTCCCCATCTCGTCCCCGTCCCCACCGGAGTAAGCCCAGCCCCGCCCTGCCTGCGAGCGATTGCATATTTAATTAAAAACGGCACAGTAAATAAAACACATATAGGATGTAATTTGTGTGTGTAGCGAGGGGTGACGGCGGCGGGCGTCGCCGCAGGCTTTAATCAGCGTGCCAGGCAGCGATTGCGCCTCTGTCTCCGCCGGTGCCAGCGGGACCCGCGCCCGCCCACAGCCCTGCGGGGACCCGCTGCTGTCCCTGGCAGGACAGGGGGGCCCTGCTCCACCCCAAACCACTCTCAGGGGAGCAGCACTTGTAAACCCTTCCCTGCACCCTGCATCTCTGGAGCACCCTGGTGTGGCCGGTGTGGCCGGATCCCTCTGCCTGGTGACAGTCCCTGCACTGTCACCCCACTGCCACATCCCCTCCTGAGCAGCTGGGGGTCTCTGGAGCGCGTTCATCTCCAGCTTGCTGTGTCCCAGGGCGGGTGGGTGATTTATGTGCCCGTGCCGGGGCTCCAGCCTGGCTGGGGAGGGACGAGTTCTTTCAGCCCTCGCAGCCCACCCGGCTCGCACCGTGTGCTTCATTCGCTGCCTGCCCTGCGCTGGATGGCTAATAAAGCTCATTGCAAATTCCTAATCCAGCGCTGCCTCCGCGGTGCAATCGCTGCAGCTCCGAGCCGTGCACCGGGAACGCTCCGTGCACCAGGAACGCTCCGTGCACCGGGAATGCTCCGCTCGGGGCAGCAGCGTGAGCGCGGCCACCATCACCATCACCACCACCATCATCACCCTCAGCAAGTGCCACTGAAACACAGGGGTGGGGACAGTGGTGCCCCGGGTGCTGGGGGGCAGCAGGGACCGGGCTCACGCAGGATGCGGCCGGCGGGTGCTGGAGGATGCCCTCCAGCCGGGAGCCGAGCAGCCACTAGAGGGAAATGGAGACCGACTGTCACCGTGTGCCACCGCAGCAGGGCGAGCTACCGGAGACATCTGACAGCTCAGCGAGGGTCGCAGCGCTGGGTAGGGGCTGAAGCTGGTGTGGCACATGCTGTGCCATCCGCCCGTCCATCTATCCGTCCATCCATCCCTGCCCTCTCCCGGGCTGGCCCTCCAGCCCATCCCCGTTTCTGGAGCAGCCTGTGCCCTGCGGCAGCCCCAGAGGCACGGCCGCAGGGCTGACCCCCTGCAGCAGAGGCTTAATCAGCTATGGGGTGGCATCACACTGCCCTGCACTCACCCTTGACTGCCCTCCTGCCAGACTGCAGCTGCTTTTTCTCCTTTTTCATGACCTCAGCCCCAAGTAGGCTGAAGACAGGCAGCATCCCTGCTTCACCCTCTGCCACTGCCCAGCCATGTCTCACTCTCTCCTACAAGCAGGTTGGTGCTGCACAGAGTTGCTCCATCCCTCTGAACGTCTCTGGTGCCTGCTTTGAGCTTTGCAGGAGGATCAGAGCCCTGTGGGCACAGCTGAGCTTCACCCTGGGCCATAATCACCACCTCTCCTTCGCTCCCCATCCCTTCCCCAATAACTCCCAATCCCCAGTCTGCCTCTTTTGCCTGTGCTGAGCTCTTGAGAGTGCCTGGGGAGGGACACAAAAATTGTCACCTCCATCCTGATATGGTGACTCTGCCTTGTTTCACTACCTGTCTATCTGGGAGCCAGTCACCAAGACCCAGTTGGGGCACCCAGAGCTGATGGTCCCTGGGGCTGCAGTGCTCCATGCAGGAGAGTTGGATGCCCAGGCAGGCAGCAGGAATGGAAGAGGGTGAGGAGGAGCACTCACAGCCTTTGTAGATGTCCGTGGGGATCTGCACAGCAGCGTAGGAATAGTTAACCTTAGTCTTGAAGTTGTCATCATCAGTGAACTCCAGCTTCAAGGAGTTGGACTTCTCCCTCTCGATCTCTTCTCCATCGGGGTCATCCTGGGGAAGGAGCAGAGTGCATGGGGTCACCCAGGGTTCCAACCCTGCATGGATGGGGGAATGTCTCCACCTGAAGCCCATCACCAAATGTTTCATGGGGGAGACCAGCCCTGCTGGATCTCGAGTGGATTTGCCCTGCCAGGAGTGGGTGGGCACAAAGGCGAGCACTGGTTACCCCTTGTCTCTCCAGCTTGGGTAGCACAGCAGGTATTAAATCAGACATAGGAAAAAAAATCAAAAAAAGGCCTTGAAAATCAATTAGCAGCAAAAGGCAACTATCAAAGAGCAAATTAAAACAGAGTGCAGCTTAGTGCTCTGTCAATAAGCAATGCAAACAATATTTAATTATGGTGGAGAGACGGTGAATTCCCCACTGCTGGTGCTGGAACACATTCCCTCGCCTTCCCAGCCCTTCTCTCCCTTCCCCAGCCCTGCTGCCAGCATGGCACCGGGGGTGAAATCCCTCTGGGAAGGCAGGCAGGGCTGAGCTGGTGCAGGTAGAACAGCTGGGTGGCTGCAGACAGGGGACAGGTGGGAGCGGGAGCACGGGGCCATGTGGGGAAGAGTGAGAATACGGGTGGACTCACTAGAGAGCTGGAGAAATTGCCTCTGCCACCCCAGCAGGAGCAAAGAAACCCAGGAGAAGGTGCTGCCTCTGAGCTGCCCATGCCTGCCACCAGCCCAGCAGCTGGGGAAGGCTGTTTGCAGCCAGCTGGGAGAGGTTCAGGGTGGGAAGGAGGGAGAGGAGGATGCTGCAGCACCTGCTCTTTGTGCTCCTGGAGCTACGTCCCTGCTGAGGAGGGGCAGGGACACAGAGCTGCCTGTGCCATCCACAGGCAGGGACAGGCAACAGCGCCAAGCCCAAACTGGGATAGACACCTGAAGGGATGCCCCACACTGTCCTCAGCAAAGACACCAGGGAACACAAGGCATGGGGATAGTCCCATCCTGCTGCTGTCTGTGGCCAATTGCAAGCATCTCTCCAACTGGCCAGGCTGCCCTTGACAAAACCCAGGGAACAAAGACCTGAATTTCTCGCAGGAAAAGCCATATATTTAAAGGAAAATGATGGGTTTGGGAAGTAAACCATGAAGCTTGTTTAGCACCTGTCCTGGCCCCCTCCTTGTTTCCCCTTCACAGATGACATGGAGAAATGTCACCTCCCCTGCAACACTTCCAGCCAGCCACTAAGGTGGTGACATTCCCATGACATTGAGAGGGGTGGCCTAAGCATTCTCCACAGCTCGGGAGAGTAACAGGATTGATATGCAAGGTTTGGGTTTAATTCCAGCTGATGGGCTGTGAGTGTCACACACTGCCCAGCCAGCCCTGCTCTGGGGGCTCCAGCTGCCCAGAAAGATGCTGAACTCCATTACAGCTGCACTGGCCAAGCAGGAGGCAGGCAGGGACTGTTCCCAGCTCCCTGGAACCACATCTCTGAGATCAAAATCCAGATTTTGCTCTCAATTTCATTTAAATCTGGAGAAAAGGCAAAAACCAGACTGCTGGAGCCCCTGCAAAGTGGTGATGCTGCAGCAGAGCTGGCACTCCAGTGAGTGCCAGGCCATGGGATGCCTGGAGAGCGGATCTGGCCCCAGCCTGCTGTCCATGGGGCTCAGCCCTCTGGGGGAAGCACACACAATATTCACCCCTGCAAACCTCTCTGAGCACCAGGCAGGATACAGATGTGCCTGCTGAAAACAGGCTTTGGGATAAAGCTGTGGCCTGAGGGCATCTGCAGCACCAAAAACTCTGCTTTGACACTAAACCCTTTTTTTCCTCAGCCCAGCAAATTCCTGGTGACAGCTCCTCATCCCTCCCCATCTCAGATCAGCAGGGCACCCTGCCATAGCCCAGCCACTGCCCCTGTCACCACCAGCAGCTGGAAAATCCACCCCTCCCTCTTTCCCTCACGCTGGCATGGCTATTCCCCACTTCATGGGAGCTGGAACTACTGTATATAATTACTGCTCCTCTGTTTATCATTATTCCCTGATCTCACCCACTTCTGAGGGGCTAATTTGTATGCTGCCAGGTTTGGTGCTGTCTGGCTGCTCCCATTCATGGAGCTGTGGAGAGGCACATGTACAGATCTTGGGGACAAATATACAGCTATCTATACGTGGGGCACTTCATGCATCACTGACACCTAGATGGCAAACACACCTGCAGAAAGGGCTGATGTTATCCAAGCTACGTTTGCCCTTTATCTATAAATCTCCCAACCTCAACTGAGTTATTTCTGTTTAAGCCAGGCTGAATTTGGTCCCTGAAAGGGGTTAATTTCCAGCCACATGAAGGCAGGAGAAGCTGTCACCAGCCCAGGCAGGGACTGGAGCATCTGGGATGCAAAGAGACACCTTGGGAAGGCCGAGGGAAGAAATCCTGCATTAAATTTAAATTAGAGCAAAGCAGATGATTCAAGTTCTCCCAAATTCATATTGGTTTAACTGTGAGCATCTCGGCAGGCCCCCAGCCAGATCTTGCAGCATTCCTCATCATTACATTTCAAAAGAACTTGGAAACATCTATTTATCTGTTACACTATGTACAACGTAACACAAATAGATGCTACACTTTGAATATATTATTTGCTACACACCATTAGAAATCGACTCCATGGCAATTCATCAATATGATACATATTTACTGCTTCGGCAAGAAGTCATCACGCCCTGAGAGCTTTTGCCACCTCCACTGCTTTCACAGCTGGCTTGTCAGTCGCATTTTCTCTCCAGCCTCCCAGAATGACAGAGAGGGCAAAACCCAGGGATGACCCAACAGCTTTACTGGCGGCCGCCACGCTCTGGGCAATCCCCTGCCCCATGTTCCATGCAGGCTGGTGCTGCTGAGGGGAGGACCAGGACTGGAATGATGAGGAATGCTGGCACCAGGACTGTGGTGGTCCCCAGACTGTGGAGCTGGGATGGAGGAGCTGGGATGTGCCCTGGAGCTGGCTGGTGCTGCTGAGGGGAGCAGCCTGCCCCTGGCTCCAGGACTGTGGTGGTCCCCAGGGTGTGGAGCTGGGATGGAGCCGGGATGTGCCCCGGCACAGCAGCGATGCCGATCCCTGGAGCCGGGATGTGCCCCGGCACAGCAGCGATGCCGATCCCGTCCCCGGCAGCTCCCGCAGATGCAGTCCCCCCGTTCGCTGCTCATCTCCATGGGAACAGCCATCACAGCTAATGATGGCTGCTTCAATGGCAGCCCCGTGACAAACAGGGCTGATCCGGCCCTTGCAGCATCCCTGCCTTCCCCTGGAGCACACACCGAGATCCCAGCACAGCCTGTTCACTCTCCCAGGGGCTCCCATCCCTGCTCAGTCTGGAAAGGCCAGTGAAATATTCACATCAACACCCTGCGATTCTGATAATCATGGATATAAATGCCAGCCCCCAACACATGGCTGAGAAACTCCTGGCCTGTGCAGAACGGTCTTTCTCCTTAAATATATCAGTTTTTCCTGAAATGCAGTAATTTAATGCTGAGGAGGGAGATGATGTGTTCTCCAGCCACATTCCTGCTTTTCCAGCAGCCCAGGTTATAAATAACAATCAGCCTCTCCCGCCAGCCTGCTCCCCTATCCCCCTTCTCTTTTTTTAATCTTTGCCAAAGGTACTGTTTAGAGATCTTTCTAGACCATTTATTTTTAAATTACCAGCCAGAGGAGAGAAGTTAAAAAAAAAAAAAAAAAAGAAAAAAGGCAAAAGAAAGAAACTTCTGGGGCTGATAGCTTATCGTGAGGAAATCCAAATGTCACATTAGTTGAAAAAGTTGGAAGATTAAATTTTCCAACACCCTTCATCTGCTGCTGCTGACATTTAGGGGCTTTTTTTCCCTCCCCTCCTTCCCCTTTTTGCAGGGTGAGCAGTGAGAGGGTGAGCAGTGAGTGGGCAGCCCCACCTGGCACAGAGCCCCCACCATCAGCCCCTCACTCTCAGCTCTCCCCAGGACCTCAGGGGGGTGGCTGGGGGCTGCCCTTGGGGCCAGGATACCTTCACACAACTGGGCTGTTTTCCACCTGAGAACACCATGTCCCAGGCTCAGCTTTGACAAGCATCATCCCCTGCCACGAACACAACACAAAAGGTGGAAAATGAATTTATTTCTGTGTTGTTCTGCCTGTGACTCCCAACCGAGTCTGTCTGCTGATTTCAACACTTCTCCCCACACAAACCCCATGGTTCTTGCTAGCTGGGAAAGGTGAAAACTTCACTTCTGCAAACATTCTGACAGCCTTGGGGACCCCTGGGAGAATTTTCTGATGTTCCCATTTGTTAAAAACCACTTGGAAATCCAAAGTCTGTTTGGGAGGATAGTGGAGCTGAGGTGCAGGCAGGATGAATAAGAAGCTCATTTCCTCCTCACTGCAGCTAAAGCTGGTGTAAGGCTTGTGAATAAGCCCCAGTTATGGGCAGCAGCCATTGTCCATCAGCACCCACTCTGGCTCAGCTACATCCTGCTCCATTTAAATAGAAAAACTGAAGCTAAATAAAGAAAGGATGGAAAGAGCACTATTACGTTCCATTCAGATTTTCTGGTCTCATCTCTCTCCTTTTTTACCTCAGCAGCATCTTCCTTTTTTCCCCCCATTATTTTTGTTGGAATTAAATTTGCTGTGATTTCACTGGTAAGGAAGCAACAGCAGAGGGAGGGAAGTGCCCTCCCTGACAAACCCACACATATCTACAATAGGACAACCCCAATTTTGCAGTTTTGCTTGGTATCTCCTCAGGGCAGGACTAAAGCTGATGTGGCTGGTGAGAGATTTGCATGGCTGCTGCTCCTTGATATGCCAGCTCCTCTGGGAAGGGAGGGATCAGGGGGCTGAGCCCTGCAGGCCCCAGGGACACTGTGCCATGCCACTGTGCACAGCCTCTCCCCAGTGCCCCCTGTGCTGGGAGGGCTCCATGGGCACAGCTCCAAGGTCGGGATGCCTTTTCCATGTCCTGTTTCCCAATCCTGCCTAATGTGACCAGGATGGTGGGGTGTGACACTCAGGGGAACAGCAGGCATGGGGACATCCAGCTTCTGTCCCCTGCCCTGAGCACTGATAGCAAAAGCCCAGCCCAGCCTGATGGATGCATTAGTCCTGCTGCTCATTCCCTGTGCTGGGAGTTGCTCTGCTCCCCAGGCTGTCTCCTCCTGCCTCAACCACCAGCCAGTTTTTCCTTCACTTCTATCCAAAATCCCCTTTAATGTATTTTAAGCCCATTAGCTCCATCCTCTCCAGAGCAGCCATGGCAGGATCCTCTCCTCCCTCCTCTGGTAGCTCCCCCCGGGCTGGGGGGGGAACAGGAGACATCCTCAGCTGTAAATGAGTGGCACTGTGGGCAGGGAGACCTGCCCAGGAGAGCAAGAGCCCTCCACTTCAGTCCCAACATCTGCCCAACCTCCCCATCCCACCTCCCAGCCCTCTGTGGCTGCTTCCCCTGCCAAGAGCCCTCTGCTGTCACTGCCTGGGGACAGGGCACTGGCAGTTAGCCAGCAACTCTGCTTTGAAGGCATCCATCCATCCATCCTCCTCCCTTCCAGCCTGTCCCTGGCTCTGCTCTGGGGCACAGACTCCCAGGTGGGTCAAGAGGAGAGAAAAGGAGCAGCCCTGGTGCACCAGCACTGGCTGGGGCTGTCCCCAAGGCTGCGCCCTGCTGTGCTGGGGGCTCCTGGTCAGCTCCATGGACTCTGCTCAGCAGCTCACACCAAGAGCATCACTGACCTGACCAGCCCCTATTTCCTATGATCCTGCAGCACTGGGGTGACCTGGCAGCAAAGTGGGGTGTCCCAGGTCAGAGCAGGGTGCCCAGGGCAGAGAGGGGTGCCCAGGGCAGAGCAGGGTGTCCCAGGGCAGGGAGGGGTGCCCAGGGCACGGAGGGGTGTCCCAGGGCAGAGCAGGGTGCCCAGGGCACAGAGGGGTGTCCCAGGGCAGGGAGGGGTGCCCAGGGCACAGAGGGATGCCCAGGGTAGAGCAGGGTGTCCCAGGGCAGAGCAGGGTGTCCCAGGTCAGAGCAGGGTGCCCAGGGCAGCCAGCAGTGCTGGTGGAGCTCCCTGCACCCGTGGCACAGCCCCTGAGTGAAGTCCCCTCGCTGTCACCAGGGGAGGAGCTGGCAAATGCCGGCTCTCTCTCTCGGGAGCCCCGGGGGATGGGGGCTGCCAGGCCCGCAGTTAAAGCACTGATTGCCAGAAATCACAGGATGGCTATGCTCCGAGTAGGGCAGGGAATTAGATTCAGTCTCTAATTAAAGGTTTGCTCTTCATTTGAATTTCAGATGCCAGCTTTAATTTTAGAAACTTTTGCAGGCAGCAGAGCAACCTGCCCACCTGCCTGCTGCCAGGCCCGGTGCTGGTGGCCAGATGTCACCACGGCTCAGCTGGGGACACGGCTGCACACCGGGCACAGAATGTGGTTACAGCCGTGACAAATGCTGTGCCATGACCCTGGTGCCGTGCTGGGACAGACTGGTGAGGGGCTCAGCCCTGGGCCAGGGTGGGGCTGTGCCAGAGATGCCACAGAGACAGCACTTACATATTCAGTGTCGGCCTTGGAGTCGTAGTACTCGATGTCTTCCTCCTGCAGAGAAAGGGGAGAGCTGTTAGTGCCAGTCAAGGTCAGGGATGGGAAAAGAGTCCCTCTCCTGTCCCTCAGCACCTCTCTCATGCTCCTGGCAGCCACCACACTGCTGGGGACTGAGCCCTCCCCAGCCCTGCTGTCCTTGGGACGTGTTCAGGACCTCACATCCTCCACATCCACCCTGCAAGGACTGGCCATGGGCTGCCGTGCTTCCCTCCACTCATGGCTGCTGCTGAGCCAGGGCACTGCAGGGCCACCAGCCCTGTGACAGTGACACCAGTGTGAGCACAGCCCTGCACTGTCACCAGTGCCCACAGCCAGGGTGCTTTGGCTCTGTTGCAAACACCAGGAGCCACACAAAAACCAGGTTTAGTCAGCGTGGCAGGCAATGGCCCTGCAGCCACCCAGGCCCCCTCCCTGCACGGCAGGAACAGGGAGGAAAGTGTCCTTGCTTCCACAGAGAAATGCACGTCGTTAATTTGGGGTATTTAGAACCTATTTAAGCAGAAAGGTCTGCTTGGATTCCTCTTCCCAGAGTGTCAAGACGCGAGACAGCTGATAAAATTCCTGAAGAGGCAATTGGGAGAGCAGCGATGCTGTCACAACAGCATTCCGTGTAGCAGTAGAAAGGGTAATTAAAGGGCACTCAGAGCCTCTTCCCAGAGTGCCGGGACCGGGTGTGATGCCGGCACACGGGCAGCGCCGTCTGCCAGTCAATCCCCATCAGCAGCCAGCAGCCTTCCCGGCACGGGCAGCCCTGGGGTGATTATTGCTGTATTATGGAACAAGGAAAGCGGTCTGGCCCCGAGCAGAAACACGGCCAAAGCCTCCATGGCACTGACTGCATCCCTGTCCTGCCTGCCCCTGATCTGGACAGGCCTGGACACAGCCCTGTGCCAGGCACGGTGGCACTGTGACATCCATGCCAGCCCGGAGAAAGGGACATGGGGGCAAGCAGCTCTCTGGGCAGCACCACCCCTGCCACCAGCCCGGCCCCACTGAGCACGGGCTGTCACTATCCCTCACTGCCACTACCTCTCTCAGCCACAAAATTGCTCCCCAGGGCGGTTTGCAGTGGCTTCTCCCGGCTTCCCAAGAGGTGGGAAAGCCCTGCAGCTGATCTTGGGGACATCAGCAGCAGGGGACCCTGGCAGACTGTGCAGGTGTCCCCCCAGGATGGGGATTGCAAAGGGCAGTTCCAGCATCTCCCTGAGCAGAGAAAATGCCCGTGGCTTCTCCGGGCTCTGCAACTCTCAGAGATTGAGATAAGGCAGCACCGGGAGGGGAAATAAAAAAAAAAAAAATTGACGCAGCATCTTCCAATTTCTGCTATTAAAAAGCCCAGTCATTAAGGGAACACACTTATTAATTATCTGTGATTTGTTGTGAAATGCTGTGGGGTTTACAACAACAAGAAAGGAAAAAAAAGAAAATAATTTCCCTTCATCTGGCCTTGCCGTGCTGCTGCCGGCCCCACGGCCGCCCCGGCCCCGCCGTGCCCGATCCACGGCCATCTGCACCTCCTAATGAAAGGAACCTCCGGAGAGCCGAGCACAAACCAGCTAATTTCATGTTTAATGATCTTTAATCAGGAGTGAGTGTGACTAACAGCGGCCAGCCAGAAGGTGCTTTGTTATTCATTTTATTTGCCGCTGGCTCCTCCGAAAAGCTCGGTTCCCGCTCCCGCAGTGCAGAGGGCACGAGGTGGGTGATGATGCTCGAGCAGGAGAGCCGCTCCCTGCTCCTGCTTTCCCCGCTCCCTACTCCGGCTTTCCCCGCCCCAGCGCTCCCACGACACAGGGCACAGCTCAGGGAGCAGAGATCCTGTGACGATGTCCCTCTCACCGATTCCCCCCAGGGATCACAGAGCCCTTACCGTGCCCTCTTTCAAGCCCTGAGAACCCCAGGAGCAGCTGGTGAGATCTCAGCCACACTCAGGCTGTGGCTGAGGTTTCCAGAGACAGCACCAGCGTGGCCCTGGCACTGAGATGTGCCCAAAATCCTTGCCACAGCCCTGCTGATGCTGGGAGTTTTTCATGGGGTCCAAGCGAGACTGGGGGAGCTGGCAGGGCATCTGTGTCCTGGCCACTTGGAAGCCTGTGTCTGTTCCAGGAAGGAGGGAGAGAGCCCTCAGAGATGCTCTGAAAATATGCCATGAATGTTCCAAGAGGCAACAAGGGGTCCTACAATTTCTGCTCCCTATTTTTTTAAAACCGCATTTGCCTTCTTCACATAATCCTCTCCTCCTCTGGTCCATGTTAAACTCAGCACCAGGTCTGTGTAAATAGCACTGGTATTTCTCGAGCCTTTCAGAATAAATACCAATAAAGAAAACAAGGGGGTGAAGACGTCAAGGGATTTCAAGGCAAAATATTGTCCCTGTCTCTGCAGGAAGCACACACTGGTTCCCACTGCAGGGGAGGCTGACAAGGAGGAGCTGCTGCTCCAGGATGTGTTAACCACTGCCCATCTTCTTGTACCTAAATTGCCAAGTGCCACCTGCACAATGGCACTGCCTGGCTGTGTCACTGGTGGGTAAGTGTGGGGTTATTTCAGCTCCTTAAGTGCAATACTCAGGGAGCTCAGTGCAATCCCAGACTGATCTGCATCTGTCCCTGTAGCCATGGCCCAGGCTTCTCCAGCAAGGAACCACCACACCTGCACCAAACCCTTGTGGTTCAGTGTCCCTGGGCAGCCCCTGGCCAAGGCTTGACCCAGGTGGTACCTCTTGGAGGCAGCCCTAGGGATGCTGCGGGCCAAAGTCTCCCCCTTGAGCCCTCCCCAGGTGCCCTGTGCTCCACACCTTCACTGTTTTCACACCAAAACACCAAGCAAAAAGCTGATTAAAAATCCAGGCTGTGAGACTCTGGAGAGCTGCAATCTGGAGCCTTGCCAGTGGCACAAGGGAGGACCCTGCTCTGGCTCCCCTGACACTCCCCAGCAGAACAGGTATGAGAAAAAGCCCAGGACAAGGAGGGGCACACAAGTGCCTCAGGTGGGTGGTGAGGGGCACTCCCCCTCACAACCCCTGACACAGTCCTCTACAAGCATCCAAACAGATCTTTTTTTGCCTAAAACAATTACAGCAACTAAAAATAATGCTGAAAATGTCAATGCTCTGTTATCTCTCTGCAGCTGGAGGTGTCTGGATGGAGGGGTGCTGGCCCAAGCCTCCAAGTCAGCGACCTGACCAGGTGACAGTCAAACTGTATCACACACAGAGCTGCCACCACCCCAAAAACCTCAGCTCCCTGTTCCAGCTGGAGCACACAGCTGGCAGGGACACTGCAGGAGGGCTATGGCTCGCTCTCCCCTGTAGAGCTTTCCTGTAAAATCACCTAATCTGGCTAATCCCTCTCCTGAGGGCCTGTAGGACTCCACAGGATTGCTCACTGTAGTCCTGTAAGGGTCACCCTGTAAATCACATGCCCTGGGGATGCTGCAGCTCCCCGGGGCAGTTGTGCCGGCAGATCCTCCTGCAGCACATTGATTTTGGTCCCTCTCAGCCTCGGGCTGTGGGCTTCATTTCTCTGAGCAGCACAGGTGACCCCTGTGGTCAGCAAATCTCTTTCAAGATTTAATTGGCTCTGGAAGAGTCAAATCCTGCAGCAGTTTGCCTTCAGGCAGTTAGGGGGAACTCAGAGGGTGGTGGGGAAGAAAAGATGGATCCCAAGCTGGCACCTGCCTGTTTTCCAGCCACTGGATGGAGCTGGTGGCAGGACCAGCACCCCAGGGCACAGCTTACCTGTGAGGGGACAGCCAGGTGACCAGAGCTGTGCCTGGCCAGACCCACGGGCAATTCAGTGGGTGGGGAGAGCAAGCAGGAGCTGGTGTGCCCGTACAGCACTGGGGACTCTGCTCATGAGGCCACCTTTCCTCTGCCATCAGCACTTTGAGAGGACAGTGAGTGTTCAGGTACTTCTTCACGTCCCTGAACTGTTAAGCACACAGAAATAGCAGCAGCTTTTGCTTATAGCTGCACCTTTCATACAGAGACACCCTGCAGCATGTCACAGAGCTCCTGCAGCCTCACACCTGTGCTAGGGCAGCAGGAGCAGAGCATGAGCAGGGACACACACAGGTTCCCACCACAGCATCACCCTGCCAAGCCCTCCTGGGCCACCCCATGGCTGTCCCTGGGCATTGGTGTGTGCTGCTCAGCTGGTCCTGGCTGGAGCTGGGGCTGCAGCTCTCAGCAGGTGAGTGCTCAGCCCATGGTGTCTGAGCCCTGCCATGGGCACAGCAGCCTCCTGGCTGGGGAACAACAGAGCAGAGAAAGTGTTCCTGCTACACCTGCCACGGGCTGGGGTGAGGGCCACAGCCAGGAACAGGCTCCACAGGGGCTGGATGGATTCCTGGGAGAAATTCCTACCTGGGAGAAATTCCTACCTACAAGCCAAACCTGGCTGTGGCTGGTAGGGGCTGAACCTTTGTTTCCACTGGCTAGAACTATTCTTGTCCATGTGCCCCACGATGAATCCTTTCCTAGTCCCCAGAAGAGGACAATATTCATGGTTAGCCCCAGCCACCACAGGCTGCTGGACAGACCAAGAAGGGGCCTGGTGGGGCCCATCCTTCTTCTACAGCACTGTGAATTCCCTGCATCCCATCCACCATCAGGGGCCGTAGGCATTACCCAGGACAGGTGGAAACAGTCATCATAATCTGCCTTGGCATCTTTTTTTTAAAAGCAATTTCCTCTCCCTGCCTCTCTGACAGAGCCGGGGAAATATTTAAGTGACCTGTCAACAGTTTTTTCATCTCCCCAAGAAGATGTTTTATCTGATCACACCTCGCCAGCCATTCTTCTTTACATGGCATCTCCTGTCTGTCCTGCTCCTCTGAGGCTGCCTTGAGCGAGGCGTGGCTGCTGCTCCCCTCCACTGCACCCCAGTGCAACAGGGGGGCCAGCACACACAGAGGGGCTGCTGGAGAGCCCCTGCCCTTCCTGGGATGGGATGGGATGGGATGGGATGGGATGGGATGGGATGGGATGGGAT